TCCCATTATATCTAACCATAGTTACGGTTACGATAAAACCTGATGTGGCCAAACACTAACTTACATTCACGCTCATTTGAGATTTTTAGCCAAGATCATGGGTTAACTACTTTATCAACACTTTAGTCATTACAAACGAGGCCATCACTTAATACCAGACACTTGTTAAGCCGGTTGGGCTGTGTTGTCGTAGCCTCATTTAGGCAAATAGAGGAAGGTGACTCATAGGCTTTTAGAAATTTTATTACAAAACAAAATTAGAATAGTCAAAACATAACAACCCCTAAAACACTGAAATTATTACAAAATGAAACTCTGGTGACAAAGATATCCTTTATACCACCACACCATTGTTATCTCTTTCGTCAAACTCTGAATTTTTAAAGACACATTTGAACATCTCATAGCCACAACATGCGTATTAACAGATCAAAAAGGATTTTGTTTGTTATATTAAGTCCTACGTCCCAAATTTTGTCTTATTCATCCTGTGTACTTGTTGTCTCATAATGATTTTGATCAATATAGTTAATTTTATATATCAATAATCCCAATACAATTCTTTGTCCAGTCCACAGTAATTTTAAACAATTTCTTCTCTCTGAAATCTCACAGAAAATTCTTGGAAGCACAGAAAACGTATGTATAATCAGACCGAAAGTGATGCATATTCAAAGAAGGAATTATTCCTTACATCACTAAAGTTTCAATACTATCACAAAGAGTAGAGTATGTAACTTCCTCTTCAAATTGCCCCACCCACCGCCAGTGGTTCCGTCGTAAGTGTGAAAGCTTATAACGCTAAAAACCGGGCTATGTTACTCGTGGTGGGCACATTTCAAATAGCCCATCGTTTGGCTTTGTGCTTAACAACATACAAACAGACCTTTAGAAATTTGGTAATAGGAAGTAGAAATTGTATTTTTATAATATGCTTATGTGGAGGAAACATAACGTTGTGATTTAATAGATGTAATTTGCAAATGGGGGATATTTACCATAAACAATATTGTTTATAAACAATAAACAACCTAATAGATGGTCCACTGTGCCATTCAGAAACTTCTTACGACAAAATTTCTTAACGTATAACCATTGATAAAGCACTATTTTTTCAAATTGTTTTCGGTCTGCAGATGTATTACGTTTATTATAAATAAAAGGTGGTCCATTTTTGATGATGTTTTAGAGGACTTTGTGCTATATAATCATAATTTAATATATAGTTTGTTTACTTAGAAGTTTCGCGTAAAACTTCGCAAGTGGTATCTGTGCTTAGCTACCCTTGATTTCCAACTGATAGACTAGAAGGGAGAAAAGACACTTTTAGTGCACCCAGGTCACAAAGTGAAGAGAGAGAATTTTTGAGGCAACACGAAACGAAACAAAATCCTTCGGATTCACAGCCTGGTCAAGCTATTTGTCCACGTTGAAATGATATATCTATCTATCACTCGTATTTGAGGGCATATGATGTAAAATAAAAACTAAATATCTCCTTTGATGTTCTGTTTTTAATATAAGCATCACACTTAGAAATAGTTGTTATATTCATTTAGAATAAAAGTGATGTTGTAAGAGTGATGGAGATCTGTTATTTTGTGTTGAATATACAATACTCTTCAGTACGCTTTCTAAACAAAATTTCCATCGCCTCATTTGAAATTCTGTGATAATGAAGAAGATAACGTAGCATTTAAATCCATGATAATGAAGGTAATGTAGTATATAAATCCATGATAATGAAGAAGATAACGTAGTATTTAGATCCATGATAATGAAGGTAATGTAGTATTTAAATTTATGATAATGAAGAAGGTAATGTAGTATTTAAATCCATGATAATGAAGGTAATGTAGCATTTAAATCCATGATAATGAAGGTAATGTAGTATTTAAATCCATGATAATGAAGGTAATGTAGTATTTAAATCCATGATAATGAAGAAGATAATGTAGTATTTAAATCAATAATAATGAAGAAGGTAATGTAGTATTTAAATCAATAATAATGAAGAAGGTAATGTAATTTAAATCAATAATAATGAAGAAGGTAATGTAGTATTTAAATGCATGATAATGAAGAAGATAATGTAGGATTTAAATCCATGATAATGAAGAAGATAATGTAGGATTTAAATCCATGATAATGTAGTATAATCTATGTGTAAGTTATATTACTCAAATTTCTAGGCAGAATGTCTGTAGAGATAAAGTCCTTCTTTAGTGTGTTCATCTTGTCAGTTGATAATAAGAATATAACTGTACCCTTTTAAATGTTAATTATGTGGAAACGTAAGTCCCATTTCACAATAATTGTGATAGTAATAAATATTAGTTGTTCAGATTTTAGTGTATGTTATGTAATATAGAAAAAATTAGATTTTGAATCTATTCAGTGTGAATATCATATAGGGCATTTTATTTTCTCCTTTTTTTTAAACCAGTTGGAGAAGATAAAGGTAAAATTCTAGTATATAATGTTTGTTAAACGTTGGAAAATGTTTACAACTGGATGTATAAATTAAAAGTTCTGAGTTTAGGCTTAATGTTGCTGTGATATGTATATATTTAATTAGAAGTGCAGTATTTCTTTTCAATAATAAATGAAATCCAGTGACTTCTGATTACTTACTCAAAAGATTTCAATATGAGACCCAGTTTGGATTCTTATGATCAGCTTCTAGCCAGAGATCCGTGTTATCAAAACTGTTGTATGGTCTTTCATTGTTCCACAGAAAAAGGAAATCGCATTTTACCAATGTGCTTTTTTATATTTTGGGGAACGTGGTTTAAGTTTACAGTTATATTTAGGCTTAAATGTACGGCCGTGGTATGCAAATACTATAGCTGTAACCTTTTTATATTATAGAAAATGAACATATCTTTACTCAGATAATTTTTCCAAACATTTAGTAAAGGTCAGCTGCTCTTAGCTAGTATTACTGTGAACAGGATGTACAGCTATGAAGTATGTTTAATCCTACTCTTTGGCGGCCATTCAGGACAGGGATTTGTTCAGGTGTTTCTGTCTCTGATTATTATCTTTTAATGATGTCTGGTGTATTGGTCATACGCAACGTTAGGGCACATATAACTCTGCTTTCTGTTTTTCTGACGTAGGTGACGTGGTATGCTGGGAAGTCTTATCAAAGCTTCAACTTGAATATAGTGCTCTAGTGTTAGTTCTGTGAAATTGTTACAAACCACAGAAGCCGGCCATCTTTAAAAAAGACACAATCGGATCACTTGCTGTTGCTTATTTACTAGTAGTATTTTTCGTTTCGAAATGAAATAATTATATCGGTTTCATTTCTTCGGTTCAGCTTTACTTATTCAAACTCCGCACACATTGCTTAGTGCCCCTTGTTATTGTGGTACCTAATTTGGTTAACTGTTGGCTAAAAGACCTTGACGTACCACACAGCTAAGGTGCTTCATTATTACTAATGGGCTTAATAAAGGTCACCATATGTCTTTCAAAGGCTTAAATGGCATCGTAGGTGTTAGTTTTGAAACGCTTTGTATGTATAAACACAGAGAGTGTCTTTAGCTCCTGATAGTCTTAGTGTAGCTTAGAAGTTTCTTCTGTTTTAAAATATTTTTCATATACCTTAGCTATTTATGAAAAATAACATCAAATCTCATATACTTTACGAAAATTCAAATGATTTATCATAAGTGACATAAGTCTATATTATTTCCTGTATAACCCAAATAATACTTGTGTGTGGAAGCACCTTATGCTAATATACTAGTAAACTGACAAACAACGATTTATAAGCAAAATAAAGTAGTGATTTTATTTTGGAGAACATATCACATGTTTCGACAGGGTGTTGGCCTGTCTTTTTTCAGGTTCTGTCCGAACATTTAGTATGTTCCCAAAAATAAAATCACTTGATTGTACTTATAAATCGTTGCTTGTCGGTTTACCATTAACCCCAGTAATAACATTACAATATAGAAATGTTCTTTATTAAATTAGTAAAACGAATTGGAAATATAAAACAGAGGCGTGAAGTCACTACTACTTCATCACGAGCATATTTCAACCATTTTTACGTGTGCTATTTTCCCGGATTGAGTTTCTCAGGTTCCAGATCTATAAGTAACTATATTTGTGTATTATTAAATAAAACTTTTCCCATCACCTTTAAGCTGAATTATGGGAAAGTAAAAGAGAAAAAAGAAAGAAAAAAGAATTGTACCTTTAGAACTTTCATTCCAGTGTGGATAAACATTACTTGAGTATTTTAATAGTTTGGTATGGGAAGTTCGTGCAAGTAAATCTGTAGTATTCCTTTTTGGTCTGAGTATCCAATTGCTATCAGAAATAGAGATGATTCACCTTTAGTCTTGCCAGCATGTGTTACTGCTTAGTTTTGGTGCAATGCTACGTGAAGGATCTAATAATCCACACCATGCCCTTCATATATACTACCATATATTAGGAAATAAAGAATAACAATGATTAAGAAGAATTGATTCTCCTTTCTAAACTGTTATTTGTTATTTTTTACAGTTTTGCTAAGTTTGTTAGTTTGTTGTTAAGCACAAAGTTCTACAAATGCCCACCGCAGGTATCAAAAGCTGAATTAAAGCGTTATAAGCCTCCAGATTTACCGGTGAGTCATCGGAAGGCACAGTTCTTTGAAGGAGAAAGAATATCAGATACATATAAATATATATATTTCTATATATCTATAAGTAGAGCACAATATGTATACATATGTATTGACAGTATTTAAGTAAAAACTTAGGTAATATGTAGATATTAGCTGTTTAATAAATTTATATACACATTTTAAATTATAGCCTTTTTACAATTTATTCTTTTCTCAGTTTATAAGTTTAAACTTTAATCCTAATTTCGTGACGGTTCTTACACTATGTAAGTTACTTTTCGGTAAACTAGTTAAACAAATGTGTTTAGCTTTTGGTAAAACTAATCAAATGTTGATATTTTAGAATTTATATTTCAATGAATTCTGTACTTACTATGGTTTGGTTGTCAAGCGAAACACTTTTACGTGAGCTAGTCTGCTTATTTCACAAACATATGACGGAAGCTATATCCTTCACTCTGTACTTCTTGCTGCTCACCTCAGTAAACAGTTTAAGTTGCAGCTGGGATATTTTTATACCAGTCACCCGGCAATAGCTGCATGTAAAATGAACGACGTCACATGACGCGTCTTTCCAACTCAGGCTTATGACTGTATTTTTGACAGAAAAACTCCAGTCCCGTTTTCACAATAAAGCACTTAACAGGACATGACAATACATGTTTTATAATACTACAAAAAACAAACTATATTGAAATACAGTTATCCAACATACCACTGATATTTTAGCTCGTACTGAGCTAATCTTAAACTTTACAATTCAACAGAAACAAACAAGAATACTGAAACTTAATCGTAAGGACGCGTTTACTTTAATACATAAAAAATAATGAATGTTTCCTGCTCAGCTTAATTAATAAGATTTTTTAATAAAAGTAAGTTAAATATATAAATCAGAAAAAAGAAAATTTGTTTGTTTGCTTTGAATTTCGAGGAGAAATTACTCGAGGTCTTTCTGCGCCAGCTGTCCTTAGTTTTGAAGTGATAAGATAAACTAGAGGGAAGGTAGCTAGTCAACACCACTCATCGCCAACTCTTGGGCTACTCCTTACCAACGAATAGTAAAATTGACCTATATATTATAACGCCAAACGGCTGAAAAGACGAGCATGTTCGGGAATCGGATTCGAAACCACAGCCCTTAGGTTGCGGGTAGAGACCCTAACCATCATGTCAAGCCAGGCCACTACAAACGTAACTTATAAGTTAATCAAAGAAGCCCTTTCTATATAACAAACTGACCATGGTTACGTAATGTTCTAAGTCAGTACACAACAAAACTTGTAATTAAAATGTATTGAATCGGAATGTAGGAACCCTTGTTGTTAAGAATGTTTTCAATCGTAATCTCAAAAAAAAAGTTCATAACTTATTGTTTACATTTAGTCCTACTTATCGATTTGATAATAATATAAGCAGATTGTTCTATGTTTTGCTTATTTTTAAAGGTTAAAACTTATTTTAGATCTGCTTGGAACTAAAGCAAATATTGAAGAATTTTGTAAAGTTTGAAGTATTATGTCAGCATGTATACATGGAATATTATTAATTTGACCTAGGTTCAAAGAAATGTTCCTCTAAGAAACTTCAAAAAAACAATAAACAGCTTTCTGTTTTACAATCACGCCTACTACCTGTAAAGTACAAAGACAATAATTTCTTAGCTTATCATGATGAGAAGTGTTAAGTATTTCAATATAATTTGCAACATTTCTGTCATATAATCATGCTGTGGAGTATTTCAATATAATTTGCAACATTTCTGTCATATAATGACGCTGTGGAGTATTTAAATATATTTTGCAACATTTCTGCCATATAATCATGCTGTGGAGTATTTCAATATATTTTTCAACATTTCTATCATATAATCATGCTGTGGAGTATTTCAATATATTTTGCAACATTTCTGTCATATAATCATGCTGTGGAGTATTTCAATATATTTTGCAACATTTCTGTCATATAATCAACCGGCATTGTACTTATCGTTGCCAATTCTTCCTTTATTATCATTTAGTTACATGTAATCAGCTTAACGAATTTTAATCTAATTTTGCGTAGAAGTTTAAACAGACATTATAGTATTTTATTGTTCTGAAAGATTCCCAGTTGAAAAATTTGTATTTTTGGAATTTTAATTTCTGAATGATTATAACATATTAACTATAATGAACATCATTTAAAGAATTAGCTTACACTATTCTATCTTGTCAGATTAGAATCTTGTAGTGATTAATATTATAACCACTGACCAAAGAAAGAATTTATTTTACATTAGATATTTTCGCAGATAGTATATAACAAAATAAAATACTTTTTAAATATATTCATCTTTATTAAAAAAATCCAGTACATTTTGTAATTTTTTTCACTTTTGACCGTTTTGTAATATTTAATTTTCTCGTTGATTCAGATGTGCTTCCCACTTCGACTGGAGTTGTTATGCGCTTACTGACATTGTAGGTCAAAATTGGCGTTTATTCAATATAACAGATGACATTGTAGGTCAAAACTGGCGTTTATTCAATATAACAGATGGCACTGTAGGTCAAAATAGGTGTTTATTCAATATAACAGATGACACTGCAGGTCAAAATAGGCGTTTATTCAATATAAAAGAATTCAGAATAACAAGTTTCATTTTCTCTACGATAATTGTAACATTATCAACTTTTGTTACAGATACCCTTGCAACTTCTTTAAGTAGATCCTCGAAACGCCGAAACGTTATTATCACGGCAGGTCTCTACCCAGTCACGAAGCTCACGGAGGACGAATAATTTGAGATTTATTTTACAAAAATATGATTATCAGCGTGTTCTTTTAATTTTAAATAAAAATAAATCAATGATGCAAATCACGCGTAAGACACAATGTAAAATATTTATTTAAACGCTCCTTAAAATGGTTGAGCCAGTTGTTTCAAGTTCCTCGAATTAAATACACTTAGCATCGCATATGTTTTGTGCGTCAGGATATTTGATAATTTACTTAATTAGTTAACTGTGTTTGACTGTATATATATATATATATATATAAAGTTGATAATAATAGTAATATTACTTAACATCTTAGAACGAAATTTCAACAAGTCATAGAAATAAAGAATTATAAATATTGTAACGAGTGAAATTAAATAAACAATTAAACATGTTTATCATTTTAATAATTAGTAACCCAAAATCACACTAAAAAAACACCACGCATAAAAACTTTAAATTTATATCAAATGTAAAAATTCAAATAGTACAACTTTAGAGGAAGGTGTCTGTGGCCATAGCAACAAAAAAATCTTTGTGGACATACACGTCTCTCCAAAAATCTTCCAAAATAGCTCAATGAAAAACAAATCGGGTAATACGAAGAACAATAGAAATTAATAATAATAAAAACCAAGAAATCATCATTATTGCTAAAATCAAAACAAAGTACATGATGGGCAGACTGAAATTAAGCTCCGTAATCTGAAGTTGACCTATTAAGGCCCTAATAACTTACACTGTATCATGAAATAATTTTTTATCACATATTTCCGAAATATTGTGTTTTTATGATATTGAATTAACTTCCTGTCAGTGCTAGCACTTACGAGTGTCACTCCCCCACTGACTCAGCGGAAGGTCTGAAGGCTTATGGCGCTAAAAATCTGGTTTCGATACCCATGGTAGACACAGCACAGATAGTTAATTATATAGCTTAATGCTAAATAACAAGTAAGTTAACGAGCGTTTGGAAAAGTACTGTTTTAGAAGAAAAAAAGTGTATCTATTCTAAGAGATTTTTATAGTTATTGAAAAAAATATCTAATTTTAATATTTCCCAACATGTAAATCCATTGTAATTTGGCTTATTAATCAGTACTGCTAGATTATGTATAAAAATGAATTATTATTTCGAATTAAAACATATCATTTCAACTAAGAGATAATAATATCTATAAAATAACTGACGGTACAAAATTACTTCTAGTCGGTAAGCCAAAAATCTTCAAATTAAAATCCAGTCTTTTAGCAACAATAGGATTTTTTACCTATCTGTCGTCACCCGGTGGGACAGCGGTAAGTTTATGAATTTACAGCGTTAAAATCCTCCGTTCGATTCGCCGCAGATAGACCAACATCGTTTTGATCTAATACAACAACAACAATCTATCCTTCTTTAAAATTTTATACCCAAATCTAGATAATGTGCTTGATAATCAATAATATCATTTCATTATATTCCCAGAAAAGTGTATCTGATGATCTGAACATTAGAATGTTGTTTTTAAAACGGATTTTGATAGAAAAAAGCCCCCCCCCCCCTCTCAGTGGCACAGCGGCATGTCTACGGACTTACAACGCTAGAAACTGGGTTTCGATACACGTGGTGGGCAGAGCACAGCTAGCCCATTGTGTAGCTTTGTGCTTAACTTCAAAATAAAAAAAAACATAGAAAAAAGACACATTTGTAGAAAAAGTATGTTAATTCGTTATAATATAATTATTAAACGTGTAAAAATTAAATGCGTGCTTGTATTGTTCTTTAATGAAAAGAAAATGAGAAATTCAGATTCTTACCGAATTATTTAAAACTATTTTTGCATAAAGTGAAAATGAAAAAAAGTTGAGAAGTAGCATTTAGATCAACATTCAATGTATGTAAACAATCTAAAACAGACACATCGTCTTAATAATCTGAAATATACCAGAATTTGTTGTAAACTTAAAGGTGAACTAGCGTAATAAAGTGTTAGCAGTTATATGTGCTGTTTACTTTAATTAATATAAAGCGCCCAAAGTCTATAAAGTAAGTCAACTCGGGAATAAAACGTTGAAAAATATTTTCACATTGTTATTACATGTAAAATTAAACAGCTTGATGGAATTATTTTACTTTGGAAATACTAATTCCTGCTTTGTGACCCCAGAGATCCCTCACTATTCCAAGCTGGTTATAGATAAGGAATAGCCACATCCTTTACGATATACTAATTATTTTTACCTACGAATGAATACGAACAGACTGAGTAAGCTGTAGTTTTTTTGATAAAAACTTAAGATTTCGAAAGGAAATGATATAAATAACTTTACCATCTTTTCATCCAAGAAAATTCTTCTTCCTTTTTTTTGGGGGGGGGGGAGGGGGAGGGTAAATGAGACAATACTATATTCTCTTTTTTCCTTCAATAGAAAAACTTGTTTGGTAAGATGAGAAAGTACACTTTTAAGACAATTATTTTAATATAATGATGTACTTTTCCATATGTGTACTTGTGAGATTCGTCGCCGCGTACAAATCGATAAACAGTTGACATATACGAATGTGTAAAACATTTCATCCCCAGTATACTTGCACGCGCTAAATCTATTTTAGATATTTTTTATATAAAAATAATCAATATTGATGGGGCATTCGTAAGTGGATTATAGGGGGCATCAGACTAGATCATTTACTGATGTATTAAACCTTGTGCTTCCCTCTTGTGACGAAATATAAGCCCGATAATTTTAATTGGTAC